CTGAGTGTCAGAGGCATGTGGACTCTCAGAGGAACTGTTCAGGCAAGATAAGCCTGTCTGCCACTTGCTCAGGAAGGCCCAAGAGCCAGTGGAGGCAGACACTACCACATCAGACAATGAGAGAGAGAAAGCTGGGATAAATATAGAGCAAGAAAACTCTAAATAGAGTGGTGACAGATGGAGAGAGAATGAGCAGAGATGGTCTGTATATATATAGTCAACTTAGCAGGACCATGCTGGGCCAGCCAGCCAGAGACCTACAGACAGGCAGGCGGGCAGGGAGTAAGCATCTCCTGGATGGAGGGCCTGACTGATTGTCCATCTACAGACACACACAGCTGAGGACAGAGAAAAGAGGGGACAGACAGAGACGCCTGTCTGCCTATGACCTTTGTGCCCACTGCATCCCTGGACTTTGCCGGGGCTCTTGCCTCCAAGCAATGCATTTCCACCAGGCTGCTGGCGACCAGACTCACATCGTGCCCCAGGGGCAGCAGAGCATGAGTGGATGGGAGTGGTAAAGCCAGTCATCAGCAAGCAGAGGCAGGAGGAGGGAACGTGGCTGCTTCAAAGGCTGACTCCCAGCACAGCCACAACCAATTACCAAGAGACATTCACTTGTCAGCCCTGAATCTTAATGGTACTAATGAGACCTCAAGTCATTTTCTCCCTGGATAAGGTGTTTTTCTTCTATCATTCGTATGCCCAGAGAATCAGGACCTCTCTCTGGTCCTGGTTTTGCCCACTCTGTTGGAGTGGGTGGTCCCTGAAATTCTTCCTGCCCTCTTTACATGAACGTAATTAATTCTTGCTAAAGGGAATAAATGAACGTGCTGTCTTCGTGGCAGTCACACACATCCCTGGGTCTTTCACCTGCAGGAGGAAATGGCTGCCATCCATCACTGTGGTACATGGATGGAGGAAGGAAGAGTTGATGAGGCAGGACTCAGGCTAGGAGATGCCAGCCCAATCAGCCCTTTTGCCAGATCCCCTTCCTGGATAGGAAGCGATTCCTGCCTCAGACAGACAGTTTGTATGTGCTGCATGCTGCCCTCAGGCACAGGTTGGTGGGAGTGATGGACACATCTGATATGGCCTCTACAACCCCATGGACTCTCATCCAAATGTCCACATACAGGGAGACTGACATCCCTGAAAGGACTTCCTCTTGATTCTCTGACCTCCTCTTACCTCTCCCAGCATCTCTCTTCATCTTCAAATTATCCTTCTTTAAATGCCAGGGCCCCTTGGTTGTCACTTTTGTCCAATGTCTCTGCCCACCTTAAAGTAGTAACTCAGGAAGGTCACTCTGGGCACGCACTGAATGTGCACACCAGCCGTCATGGAAAAGTGAGAAGCAGGGACTCCTGGGAGCACAGCCAGACACACTGGATGATAAAGATTCATGGTCTCCATGTTTGAGAAATACTTGAAGGACCAAAGAAGCCTGAACCTTCTTTCATAGTACAGTCACTGAGATGATTCAACAGTGGAGTTTTCTGGAAATAGTACCTGAGATATACTCAGTCTCAGTACAGTAAGACAGTAAGTGCCCCATGTCCCCGCTGTCATGCCTTCCTTGCCGTGATGGACTATGCCATGTAACCATGAGCCAAAATGAATCCTTTCTCACTTAAGTTACTTTGGGAAGGCATTTTCTTTTTATCACAGCAACAGAAAAGGAACAAAGACAGGTAGGTGTATCCCAAATGTCAGTGAAGGGTATTCAAACAAGTTTGCACACAAATGATACTAGCAGCAATAGTCACACTAGCAGAAAGGTAGCAAGTACACAAATGTCCCTGAGTGGATGAATGGATACATGAAAGGCAGCACACATGTGCACATGTATGTGTGTGTATATCTGTATATAAATATATATATGAATATTATTTATCCATAAAGGAAACAGAATGCATGCTACACCCTGTAACTTGAAATCAGTACACTGAAAGGAGTCAGAACAAAAATGTCGCATATGATATAATTCCATTCATGTTTATATGAAATCTCCAAAGTCTGGAACTGCATACTGAAAATATGTTAGCAGTAGCTATGCAATGGAGAGGAGAGAATGAGAAGGGGCCATTAATGGACACAGAATTTTATTTTACAGCGATAGAAATGTCTCAGAATTCAGAAGAGGTAATGATGGCACAGAATCATGAGGGCAATAAGTGCCCCAATTGTTTGAATTTAAATAGTTCATTCTTGGGGGACCTGCCAGTCTTGGACGTGGAGCTCTTTGTGTTAGCAGCCTTGAAACACTCAGCACATCTAGGCAGAGGGATACAGTGTGGAGTTGCATGGACCAGAGGAGGTCAGTGGCCGTCTTGTAGAAGCCCGTTGTTCCTTCAGGCCCTCCTGCGGGGGAACTGGTCCCCTCCTGCCTCACTGAGGAGTCTTCGGTCCCTCTAGCATGGGCCCGAGTCCAGCCTAAAAAAGGACTTTTCCCTGCATGGTGTCCAGGAACAAACACTAAGATGGACCCAGCTACCCAGAAGCTCAGAGGTAGTTCTGGTCTATGCTGTGAATTGCTGAGAGAGAAATTCCAGGAATACTGCTGTGCTGGGCTTGGTTCATCGATGCATCAACCGTGCTCTGGCTGCTCCTGGGGTGAGGAGCTGGAGATGGTCCCTATGGGGCTGCTCCTCCAGAAGGTGCCTACCTGGACACTGATGAGCAGGCCAAAGAACCCAGTGAGAGACATCCTTCCATGACACCTGACAGCCCTGTTCATCGTCTGGCCTGGTCTTAGATAAAACTACTTTCTGAAGGAAGCAACTCTGGAGAGCTGATGAGGGGACCCTACTGGTGAATGAGCCAAGGGTGCAACAGGCTGTGGGATGCAATAGGTTTTGGATGCAGGGAGCGTGATGAATGAAGAGACATTCAGCTCAGGGAGTGCTGGCTTGTAAGCATCCCATCTCTCTAACACCAGGCTCAAGTCCTGTGGCTGCTGCTCGGAAGAGAGCGAGCAACACTAGAAAACTAGACCTTTCCACAATTCTTGCAACATATAAGGGTCTCAGGGCACCCTTCCCCCAGCGCAGTAGTGTGGCCTGGAAGCTCTGCTTCTTTCTGTCTCTCCTCTATCTGTCCTTCTGTCTGCCCAGATTACCTAGTCTCTGACTTCAGCTCCTGACCAGTTTACGGCTTGCCTCCTATTCTTTTGTCATTCTGCTCTGTGTTCCTCACAACTTCCCCCCACTCACATGCGTGTGGAGGCCAGAGGCCAGTGTCTGCTGTCTTCCTCGCTTGTTCTCCATTTTTTGAGACAGAGTCTCTCACTGAACCCGGGGCTCATGGATGGCTTAGACTGATTGGGCAGTGAGCTCCATGGAGCCACTCCACCTCTCCAGCACTGGGATTATAGGCTAGCCGCCATGCCTGACTTTTTACATGCAAGCCTGGGATCTGAACTCTGGTCTTCGTGCTCGAGCAGCAAGCAGTTTATTGACTGAGGCATTTTACCTTACCTGCTCTGCCTTCCTTAGAGCAAAACCAAACCCTAACCCCTTCTGGCATGGGAAATGAAGAGATGCGGGGAGTGTCTGTGTGTCTTTGTACAGTTCCTTTGGCTACACATACTGGACTCCCGCCTTGAGACTCAGAAATGGAACAAGATCCTCTTAAACTGTATTTACCTTTGTCCCGAAGCACTGTGGGCCTCTTCATTCTCCATGACCTCTCTCCTTCCTACCACCCTCCCCTTCCCAACATACCTTTTGGCTCTTTAAATCACTGCCGCTGGCACTACCACTCTGTCCCAGCTGATCCTCCGTGGTGCCCTACAGCAAAAACTTTATCAGGATCTTCGTCTACTTCTGTGACTCTCAAGGTCTGGCCCCTGGATCACGGCATGAGTATCTGGTGGCAATAAACTAGACATGCACAGTCTCAGAATTTCTGGGGGAGAGTTCCGATAGCCAGTTTTAACCAGCTCTCCAGTGTTCTAGTTGCTATCATTAATGTCATGTCCAAAAGCAACTTGGGGAGGAGAAGGTTTATTTTAGATTGCAGGTTCCACTTGATCATTGAGGGAAGCCAAGGCAGGAGCTCCTGGCAGCACCCAGGAGACAGGAACCCAAGCACAACCACAGAGGAACACTGTTTACCAGATTAGCTGGCTTGCTCAGGTAATATACAACCCAGACCCCCCTGCCCACGGATGGCACCCTACATAATTAGCAATCAAGAAAATATCCCACAGACATGCCCACAAGCCAATCTGCTGGGGATAATTCCTCAACTGGGATTTTCTCTTCCCAGGAAACTCGAGCGTATGTAGATAAGAAAGTCTAAGCAGTACACCAGGAGACAGTATTGACTGGAACCTGAAGACTTCTTACATGCTTGAAGGGCTTGCCACATGAGTGTGAGGACCTGCGTTTAGATACCCAGCACCCATGCAACAATGAAGAAAGTCAGGTGCCCACAATCCCACTGTTGAGGATGTGGAGAGAGGAGACGCCCTGGAACTCAATGGCCAGCTGCGTTCATGAGCTCTAGTTCTGTGAGAGGCCCTGCCTCAAAAAAAATAGTGTGGTTGAGGAAGACACTTGTCAACCAACTTCAGGCCTCAGGGTACATGCACACCAGTCACATACATACAAACGTAGACACATCATACACATACACACACGCTCACACACATGTGCACACACATGCACACAAACGCTCACACATACACACTAACATGCACATGTGCACACACACATACACACACACAGGCTCACACAGAGTGAATGAGAACTTCAGAGGATAATCTGCATTAGGAAAGCTTATGCAGTGTTCAGCGAAGGATTTGTGTAGAAGTAGTACTTTGTGGTAGTGAGACCCTTATCTTCCAATCTCTAACAGATGATCTTTGACGTTTGGATCCTGTTTCCAGTTAGGATTTGGGATTTTGACAGCTGCCTCTAAACATACTGTGGGTTTTGCATGAATCACCCATCCACAGTCACAAGAGGCCACACATCCAGCTCTTATTTCTCCAGGAGTCTCAGCCATGTTCCCATGCCCTGACACGTCCACCTGGGAACCTGAGAGGTTCCTTCCTGCACCTTCTCTGATATCCTGGAGTCCTTGCAATCGCCGTTCACAGATCTCTGACCACTGATGCACCATCTCCTACCCTGCTTGCTCGAGAAGCACTCGGCCCACCCACCTGGAAGCAGTGGCACCTACTTCTCCACTGGCCATGCTCTCCCCTGTTTGTACCCTGGGAAGGGAGAAAGGAAGGCTACAGAGCTGCTGGGGCCCAAGTGCAATGGTTCTTCCAATTCGCCACCCATTTCTCTAGCAGAATTAAAGCCTTTAGGTTCACTCATTTCACTTCAAGTGATATAAAACACCAAATCTCCACTGTAGGCTGGATGTTGTTATTGTCTGTTGGGATGCTGAGCGTGGTGAATCATCACCCGTGGTAAAAACAGCACACACATAAACTTGGTTAGGTCAGAGAGAACCTCTCACTCCAGAGACTCATGGGTCAGATTAGCAGATCAGTGTGGCCACAGAGATCTCTGAAGATAACTCTGTGGCTTCCTGGCGTTGTCTCTCACCGATGTGTTTCTTCTGGGGATGGGTGCTGCAGGAGGCAAAATGGAAGGTGCTGTAAAAGGGGAATGCTAACGGAACAGAATCCAGCGGAAAGCTCGGGAAGACATTGTTCTAGTGGCAAAGTGGCCTTAATCAGGCTCCTTTTGACCTAGGCATTAGAAGTGGGCATAGGAAGATGACTGCTTTGATGCCATAGCCAGAAGTCTGCAGGAGACTGCTACAGTCTGTGATAATCCAGGCAGTACATGGTCACTGGCTAAGCCTTGGGTCTCACACAGTGGCTCCATGGAGTAGGTTCCAAAGTTCCCTGTGCCCATTCACGATGTGGAGCACATCTTCACTCAAATTGCAAGAGTCCCAAAGATCTCATTTCTTCTCACTGACCAGCCAGGCCCCCATCTCCCTCCTGAGCCCCCAGAGCAAGGCTGCTGCCTCTGGTTGCAGCTTCCCAGCCCGACTCTCAGCTCTGCTACCAAAGAAAGTTTTCTAGAACCCATGGTGGCCACATCCTCTGACTTTGATGACCCTGTTGTCCCCTTGTTGTCCAGTAGAGAAAACAGAGTCTCAATCCTGTCTCTCCCTCCTATCTCCTGTTGTCTCAAAGCCAACCAGCCTGCTTCCTGCCATTCTGGACTCTTCTCCATCCACCAGACACACCAACACCAACCTATTGAATTACTCTGTCTGTCTCTGTCTCTTTATCTCTGTCTTGTCTCTCTTTGTATCTGTGTGTGTGTGTGTGTGAATTTTCTACCTTTCTCAATTCCTCAGTGTCAGTTCCTATTCAATATGCATAACCTAAATCTTAGATACAGCATTCCCACAATTCAGTTTTATGATCAGTTACGTTTGCCCTGCTTTTAAATTTGATTTTGCTCAGGAGACTGAGGTAGAAAGATCACAAATTCAAGTTCTGCCTAGGCTGCAGAGTGAGTTCAAAGTCAGCCTGGGCAATTTAGTGAGACCCTTTTTAAAAACTAAAAGGTAAAGAAAAGGTCTAGAGATGTAGCTCTGAGATAGAGAATTTGCTTAGCATTTGTGGGGTCCTGGATCCCCACTGTGTCAAGCAACATGATAGTAGTAACTGTAACAACAACAAAAACAATAATAATAGTGGTAGGATGATGCAAACCTGTGTGCTGTAATTCACCTTATTTACTCAGCCTTATGTTTGGAGACTTATTACTGTTGATAAGCATAACTAATTTATTGGGTTTTATCATTTTTCAGTTAATAAACATGTAAACTATTTACATTGTCAATAATGCTATTGTGAACATTTCTAGCCTCCACTATGATAGGGGTTTCTGAAGTGCCCTGTGTTTTGAATAGATGGATCACAGAGTACACACCACTCTGACATAGGCGTGCCTGCCAAAGTATCTAAAGCCAAGCCACACTCGAAGCAACTACGCTTAAGTTTCCATGAGTCCACACCCTCACTAATTCTTGGTGTTCTTTTTAATTTTTGCCAACCTGAGTGGCATGAATTTCATCATAATGTTGTGTGGCATTTCTTCTACGTGTTACGCTGTTAACTTGGTGTCCTTCAGTGAGTCACACATGTCAGCACATTGGTCCTTCTATCAACTCCTCTTCCTGAATCTGGACTCTCCCCATGAACCGCTTTTGTCCAATGGAATGCAACAGCAGTGACGCAGGGCCAGAGCTGGGCAGAAACCTCAAAAGCTATCAGTGGACGTGAGAGTCTGGAGTCAACATGTACAGTTTCCATGTACCGTGCTACACAGACCATACAGAGAGACAGCGAGAGGTCACATGGAGAAAGAGTGGCCCTAAGAACGAGGGGTCAAGCCCAAAGAGTTGCATAACCTCCAAGTCATTCCAGCTGGCACCCCACTGCTAACCACTAGAGCCAAAGGCTGGGGACTGAGGAAGCCATACTGCACCTCCAGATCCAACAGGCACCACGTGGGATGGAGATAAGCTGTCCTTACTATGTCCCTTCCAACTTTCTAAGCAGTTAGACACTGAAAAACAGTTTAGTATTTTAACATCTGTTTTTGAAGCCATAAAGTTTCATGTAGCTTATTAGGCAATGAGGTGACTGACTTAATTAGTGAGGTTGAACATCTTTTCATAGACTTACTGACTATTCAATTTTCTCTTTGGGAAATTATTTATATCTTTTACTTGGTTTTTATCGGGTTGCCCTTCTGGTTTTGTTTTACTGAAGTTATTTATGCAGTATGGACATGAATCTATTATTGGTTGAGTGTATCATAATTTATCATCTCTGGCTTCCTGTTCAACATTGTATAATCTTGTGATAGCTGCAAGATTTTAATTATGATACAGTTGAATTCATCAATACTTCCTGCTTCGTGATTTTTGTGCATTTTGTGTTTTGTTTCAGAAATCCCTCCCTATCCTACAACCACAAACATTTATCTCTGTCTTCTCCTGGAATATTTAATAATGCGCTTTTTCATTTTTTCTTTAAATCCATATGAAATAGTATTTGCTTATACTAGCAGGCAAGAATTTAATTTTATGTTGTTTCCATGTAAACAACAGTTGGCCAGGGATAATAATTGAATAGTCTTCCCTTCTCCATTGATAATAAGTTCACCTCTGTCATAAAGCAAGCTTCATACCATGTATATATAGTAGTTATATATTTTATATATAAATAAATACACACATATGGTTCTGTTTCTGGGATCTGAGCTCCACTAGTTTCTTTCCTCAGCCCTGTACTAATGGTAGATTAGCTCTCTGATTATCATCACACTTCTAGAAACATTGTTATCCAATCACATTTGCTCTTTTATTTTAATTGTTCTGACCATTTCAAGCTTCGTCTTATTTTATTATCTGGAGTAAAATAAGAGCAAACCCTATAAATAATTTGACTTACAGGATACTGTAGAGAAAATTCATATTTGTAGTATTGAGCGTTCCTGTCCATGGATGTGATCTATCACTCCATTTGTTTAGGGCTCTCTCAATGGCTCTCGAAATTTAATAATTTCTCCAGAAAGATCATGAGCATTTGATCTTAGATTTATTCTTTTGTGCCTTACATTTTTGTCGTTGCTAATACAAATAGTATTTTTAATTGTATTTTCTGACTATTCACTGATGTTTACTAGGAATGTATTTCATCTGTGTATATTGACTTTATATCTAAGAACCAATCATCCATCATATTGATTTTAATGTTTCTATGTAGATGACCACATTATTGCCAGATGGTAATTTTCATTTCTTCCTTTTCAATTATTTTGTTTTTTTGTTTCTTTTTCTGAGTCTTGCCATGTAAGCCAATAACTTCTTGGTGACTAGGAGGCTTGTTTTTTTTTTTTCTTCTAATTTTAAATGCATCCCCTCTAAAAATTTCACCAAACTACACAACGTTTCAAATAGGAGCTCTAACCATCCATACAAAGTCTTTGATTTTTGTGGGTTTTAAAAACATGTTCATGCTGGGCAATGGTGGCTCACGCCTTTAATCCCAGCACTCGGGAGGCAGAGGCAGGCGGATCTCTGTGAGTTCGAGGCCAAGCTGGACCTACAGCCTCCAAAACAATACAGAGAAACCCTGTCTCGTAAAACCAAAAAAAAACAAAACAAAAACATGTTCATGATTATCATATGCTCTCCTTTCATCTATAACCATGGTATTTCAATTTTAACCCACTAAGTCAGCCCTGTAGGGCTGAGACAAAGTTAATTTTTTCCTCTTGACTATTATGTTCAAATCTCTAGTGTTTTGAATTGATTTATAGTTTTCTTTTCTTGTATTATCCTTATCTTTTCTAGTATCAAGGAAATACCAGTCTAATAGAATTGGTAATGCTGTGTTAGAGTGTGCTCTCTCCAGTCTCTGGTACAGCTGATACTATGCAAAAGAGCCTGCTTATATTCTTTGAATTTTTTTTGTAGAGTGTTTTAGTTGACAGAATCTAAATTGCTGATCCAATTACAATTGAACCTCATTATCTCTGAATTCTGTCTCTGCAGATTTGCCTGCTCATGAAAAAGAATAAAACTCCCCATGTCAAATACCTGTGGTTCACGTGTGGTTATGCATGGACATGCATACCATGGTGAAAAATCTATGTCACTCAACATGCATGTCCCATGTCACACAAGGCAACACTCTGCCTTCTCCCTTTGACGTGCATACTGTGAACTGTGATCTTTTTCATATCCCATTCAGTGCCACATCTTTCACACTGCAGAGAAGGGGCTTCTGTTAGTGAGTTTTCTGTTTTAAATGCTCCCAAGCATTGTCTTGGAGGGCTACACAGAGTTCCTGAGTATAACCAAGCTGTCACGTGTTTTCTAGAGGAAATGTGTCCACCAGATCTACTTAATCCAGGCCTGAGTTATATTGCAGTTGGCTGTGAGCTCAACAGTAATGAATCAATAATTCAGTACCTTCAGGAAAAAAAGAAGAAATCACTGATCTGTAGATGAGGCTTCTCCAGAAAATGCTGAGAAGTGTCTACCACAAAAGATGGACTTACAGAAAAGACCAAGAACAGCTGAATTTGTGGAGTCAAAGAATTATAAGGGAGATTTTTAAAGGCATGGCTGACAGCAACTTTAGGGGGCTGGAAGACAAAGAAAATTTTCATTTAATGCAGGGCAGAAAAATGTTAAACCCTTTTCAGCTACAGCTCACTAGAAGTGTAAGGTCAGACTGGATGCACACGATGTTCCAGGCAAGGCAACAGAAGGAAACCAGGTCTCAAAAAAAATCTTAAATGGGGCTGGAGAGATGGATCAATGGTTAAGATCACTTTTGGCGCTCTTCCGGAGGACCTG